GGTTGGGCTTTTCTGGCACATGTAATGCAAGAGTAATAAATATTAATAATAAAACCAATTATTATTATTATTATTATTATTATTATTATTATTATTATTATTATCATCATCATCATCATTATCATTATCATTATCAATATCATTATCATTATCATTATTATTTTTAAAAATACAAATTATATAATTATATTATAATTAATAATTAATAATAGTAATAATAATAGTAATAATAATAAATGATAGATAATAGATAATAGTTAATAGGTAATAGATAATAGATAATAGTTAATAGAAAATAGATAATAGATAATAAATAATAAATAATAAATACAAATAATAAATAATATATGATAAACAATAAATAATAAACAATTAATAATAAATAATAAATTATAGATCGTAAATAATGAATAAATAAATAAATAATAGAAAATAAATAATAGAAAATAAATAATAAATAATGAATAATGAATAATAAATAATAAGTAATTAATAATAAATAATATTTAATAAACAATAAATAATAAACAACAAATAATTAATAATAAATTATAGATCGTAAATAACGAATAAATAAATAAATAATAGAAAATAAATAATAGAAAATAAATAATGAATAATGAACAATGGATAATAAATAATAAATAATTAATAATAAATAATATATAATAAACAATAAATAATAAATAATGAATGATAAATAATATATAATATATAATAAATAATAAATAATAATTAATAAATAGTAAATAATAAATAATAATAGATAATCCCTTATTTCTGGGCTGATCCTGGAAGTTCCCAGGATCTGGTAGTGCTTGCAGCTGTGGACAGCACTTTTCTCCTTGCTGCCTTCCTTCCACTCACTCCAAATTAAGGCTTTAAAATGGGAACTTTTTCATTGCTCTGCTCTGATGAGCCCTCAATGTGAAACCAACCATTTATTTTCTCACTCCAGCTTCTGTCCTAACGCAAGAGCCGTGTCTGATGTTTGATATCAAAGCAAACAATGCCACTGGAACTGCCTGCTGGGGCTGCTGGGGAGGTTTTGGCACAGAGCAGTTTTGTGTTTTCCTCACAGGAAGATGGAGAGAGGATCTCCTGCTCCAAAGTCTCAATGCATCATCTCGAATATATCACATCACAAAAGTTAATGCCAATTAAAGTGTGTTGCCCCAGCCATGATTCCAAATTTGATACAGCCCCAAGAAACCTGGCAAAAATCTGAGGGTGAGCAGCTTCAGATGTTCTCTATTCTTTCACAGACGTGCCTGCAAATATTTTTGCAACATCCTCGTGTTTTTACAGTCAATTTTTACCTTTTCTCTTTGGCAGTTCTCACCTTTCAGTAACATCAAAAAGAATAAATCTTGGTATTTTTTACTTTCAAATGCTCTGCAGGGGTTCCCCTAACCCTTCACTTTGTAGGTGGTGTTTGATTTTTGTCTTTTTTTAACAATATTTTTTATTATCTTATTTTGACACTGTGGCTTGCTTTTTGATTCCACTTAAAAATACAATCTAAGCTTCACAAGTGGAAAAAATTTTCAATATTCTTTCACTGTGGTTAATTTCATGTTTTCTATAGTGGGTTGTGCTTCTTGGACTTAAGAGCTGTGCAAGTATTGGGTAATGACTCCTCAGGATAAACATTTTTTTCCATTATTGCACACAGAACTATCATCTTATTAATCAAGAATCAACTAAAAGTCATGAATATTTTAATTTTTGCATAATCCTTGGTTATACAAATGGATGATGGGGTGTGGTAGTAGTACCAAAGTGGCATTACAGTGTGCCATGATAAGCACAGCATAAAAACCCTCCCAAATGGTTTCACAACAATTAGAAAATGCATCATAATATTTTTTTTTATGGGGGTTTATAATGCCAAATGTTGGAAAATTCAGCCTGCTCTCACTTCAAAGCTTCCCTCATGATTCCATGCCATCCACCACGTGGAGACAGCACCCTGCCAAACCTCCCTCTCTGGTTTTTGGGGACTCTCTTTGTTACTCTTTTCCATTTCCATTTTTAATTCTCACCACTCATCTCCACCACCCTTAATTCAGTTTCTTAATTCTTCAATTTCCAGCTTGTAGAAAGCTCCCCCTGAGCTTTTCCCACACAGGAGACAGCTTTGGGTGATTTTTGTGCAGGTTTTATGGCTCCCTAAGTGAAGGAACATCCCTGGCAGCATGAGAAGGATGAGTGCCAGACCGAGTAATAAAACATTTTGCTGTTGCTCATGTTTGAATCACCAAGTCCTGTGTCTGAAATTCTGACTTGAAAGAACTCACAGGGGGTGCATTCCTCCTTGAGCACTCTGGTATCAGTCCCCAGCAAGCTGTCAAATCAAAGC